TTCACCTACTCCTCACCTACTCCATACCTACTACACACTCACCTACTTCACCTACTCTTCACCTACTCCTCACCTACTCCATACCTACTACACACTCACCTACTTCACCTACTCTTCACCTACTCCTCACCTACTCCATACCTACTACACACTCACCTACTTCACCTACTCTTCACCTACTCCTCACCTACTCCATACCTACTACACACTCACCTACTTCACCTACTCTTCACCTACTCCTCACCTACTCCATACCTACTACACACTCACCTATTCTCTTCCCCCACCTACTCTTCTATATATAGGAATCATTGTAACATTCAATAAATCAATCAATAATACAATCATTTCTCTTTATACATTAAATTTCTACAGTATTTCTAACTATTTTGGCATTTTCCCTATCTTAATGACTGCCCATGGAGCTTGCATTAGCATGAACCTTATATACATACCTATAAATTTAAATATCTACATAGAATATGTATCCTTTTGTATCTAAACATTTATACATCCATAGATCTAAATAATTAAACACACACACACACACACACACACATATATATATGTATAAATCTGTGTGTGTGTGTTTGCATGTGCAAGTGTCTGAGCATGGTCTTGAATTAGAGGCAGATTATCTTATTGGACAGTTTGAAAGAGAAAAGCTATTTGTTGTTAGAAACAATGTTTCGTATTTTTTTCTGGTGTTTTATTTATTTATATTTATTATTAGTAATATTTTGGCATTGTTTGGTAGAGTTTTAGAATTGTGATTTGAAAAAATAGTTGTATTTTGAGTTTGTGAGTTTTGGAATTATGATTTAAAAAGAGAAAATTTGTTTGGTTATGAGTTTTGAAAAGAGTTTTGAATTTTTGATGCGACATATGAAATGGGAAAAGTTGTTTGGTTATGAGTTTTGAAAAGGGTTTTCAAAACTTAATTGAAAAACTTATAAACCATAACCAAACACACAACTCAAAACTCTATTGAAAATTCTATTCAAAACTCGTAACCAAACTCTTTTTAAAATTCAATTCAAAAAAATAATGTCATTTTGGTCTAAAAAAATAATTTCTATATTTAAAAAATATCAAAAACAAATATAATTTTTTTTTTTCCCTCCAAATAATAGGTGGCGATTGGCAATTGCAAAAAAAAAAAGAAGTATTGTTCCGGTCAACCGGGTAGACCAAAAATTCAAAAATTGTCTGCTTTACCAAACATGTTTTCAAAATGTATTTTGAAATTGATTTGGAATCATGATTTGAAAACTCAAACCAAACATAGCATTAGAATGTAAGGGTGGAATTAATTTTAAAAAACTCTACCAAACACCGCCTTTATTTTTTTCTCTCTAGGTGACATGGTTGAAGTTGTCATGCTTAGCATTCTTTTTATTTTTTTTGATAAATTAGCACTCTTTTTATTCTCTTTCAAGGGAAAACATAAGTGTTTGATACTATGATTTTTATAGTCTTCCTACTTTGTTAATTTTCATTTCTTTTCTCTTCAACGATGTTCTGTTTTCATTTCTTGTCTAGTTCTATTCAATGCATGAAGGTTTACTTAGTTTAGTGTTTACTGCGGATGAATTACTGAACAAAATATTTGGCTCAAATGGATGAAATGTTGTATACTATTATTGCACACCGGAATCTTGTGTTTTAGAAATTTGACAGCACCAAGTTATCTTCCAACTTGTGGTTTGTGAATGTTTGCGCCATAGACCCAATTCAGCTTTTTATCTGGCAAGCTGCAAGCCATTAACATGCTGGCTTGTAGCAATGCTTTTCACTTTTCCATATAAACTGTGCAATGCCATTGTCTGGAAATGACTGTCTGTGGCATATATGAAACTATTGCTGAAATGGGTGACATATTGGTATCAGCTGTCGTCCAGCTCTATGTACACATGTAGTGCAGTATGTTAACAGTACATTCCCCCTCCCCCCCTTTTATCTCTTTCGCGCCCCCGTGCAATTGCACATGCCTCCATATAGGAGCTCACCTTTGTGAATGAATTGGAAATCTATCGTTGGAATGGATTGAGAATGTTTTAGTCTGTCTAATAATCATATGGTTCAGTCAGCTGCTTCTGATGTTTGTGAGGCATGTTATATTTTCAGTTTTACTTGGTGCACCTGTCATGAAGGAGTTGTGTTTGGTGTTGTGATCTACAGAAAAGGCTTCATGGGGGACAAATGTGATAATTCATCAGCTGGGCTTAACATGGTAGCAAGACCTAGAAAAGGAGAAAGGCTGCACAAGCAAAATATGCTGTGTGGTGATGGTTCCAAATATATGTCTTACATCAAGGTAGATCATTCTAACATATTGGCGAATTCTACCAAATATACTAAATGGGACTATACATTTGTTAAGATATGCATTTTTTGTATTATATTAATTATTGAGGGCAGTTTGGTCATTTGCTTCTCTTTTATTAGGGTTTATCATTATTTATTAGGCTCTTTTGTATTAGTGTTTGTTTATTTGTTTTGTTCATCTTTTCTTAAGTTCGATGAAACAAAGGAGCATCCATTAGTAGGAATGGCATCTCTCGTAGTTTTATCATGTAGTCGTATTTTGGCTTCCAATTATTCCTCTGTCTCCCTTTATTGATTTATTATCATATTTGGGAAATTGGGACTATGGTTAATGGAAAATCATTTTCTATTCAAGCTATTATTGTGAAATTGATGGATGACAATTACACTCGTTTTTGGTAAAAACTTGTGTTGTTATGATTTTGGGGTTGTTAAGATGCCTACGGATACAAAGGCTGAAATTTTTTATGAGTTATTTTCAACTTGGTGCTAATATTTCTACCTGGACAAATAATTTTGTGGATCAATCTATTGGTGTTCACTTGACTAAATTCACAAAAGCGAAGGAAGTTTGGGACTATCTCTCCAACTTATATGTTCAATCGAACTTTGCCAAGAGATATCAATTAAGAAGAAAGCAAATTCAAGTTAGTGTTTGTGACTGATCATCTGCCTTCATTGCATTTCAGGTTAGCAAGGAGCAGCATCAACTTGTTAGGAGTAGTATGAAGAATTCCAGTAATAGCATTCAATCTAGGTCTCTTAATCATGTTTTGGGTAACCTCTATACTTTTCATGTCCAACCATTTGAAGTATTTGAGAAAGAAGAGCGGAAAAAGTTGCATGAGCATTGGTTAGTGTTTTGCATTAAACATTAAAGATTGCTTTACTTCAAGCACTTTCTCCCCTTCAAATTTCAGTGTTGATTATACAGGCTGCAGTTGGTAAACAGAGATCTTCCAGTAGCATTTGCGAACTGGAGAACTTGGCAGATAAAGAAATGGCAAATGGTTCAATCTTTGGACCGAGAAATTGAAGAAAATTTAAAGTCAGTTAAGGAGGTTTGATACTTTGCCCCAGTAGTGCCAGAAAATGCTATTTACATTTTGGAACAAACATTCCGAAACATGGTACACTTACGTTCCAAAATTGCGAATTTAGTGATCCAAAGAGATCTCAATTTTTTTTCCCCATTTGTTTTTCTTTAAGGCTGTGTTTGGATCTTGAATTTGTGGAGGGAAAAGAAAAAGGGAATCCACAATTTAGTCAAGAAGAATGGGCCCTAATGCTTTTATTTTAAACGATTAATTAAAAAAAGAATGTGTTTCATTAGATGTGTAATTGTTGAAAAGTTCTAGAAGTACCTTAAATTCTAATAGTGTAATCTATTCGAGTTATTGTACGACATTTTAGAGCATGTGGTGGTCTACCATTTAACAAAACGATCCGCAATTTGTTAACGTAGCTTTGCCCCTCTTCTTCGTCTGTTTGTGTTGAGTTGAGTCATGAGTGTGGGTGTCTTCGGCTGTGGAACAAAGTAATTGAATATTCAGCATATCCTTAATGTTTGGAGCTAATCTTTGATGGATACATAATGATAATTTCTCAGTTTTTAACTGGGTGAGCAGGATGAGGAGAAAGAGACTGCTCTTAATATGCTGCTTGATTTGACAGATAATAGAGCAGCAGACTTTGAAGCGACCATTACAGTGGAGGTTTGTTACCGACTTACTCTGTCCTCTGGGTATCAGAGCACATAAAAATAACTTGTTCAAAGTCCATAGATACTTTTTAAGGTTCCAATGCTATTGTGATAATTAATTTGCATTAGTTGTGTTATGTTAACTTGTCAGTTTATTATGGGGTTGTCAGGTTGAAGAGAAAGGGACTTCAGACAGCTTGATTCAAGAGCACATAGATGATGGAGCAGAAAATCATAATCCTGACATTGCATTAGAGGTTTGTGCTTTTTAGTCCTTGCTTTTGCTGTGTTTTATTGAGAGTGGATATCTTTGCTTTCAAAATCAACGTTGTTATACATCAGATCCTTTTGGCTTGGGGTTAAAAAACCCCTTTTGCTTAATATATAGTATAGATAGACTAGCATATCACTCGTTCTGTCACGACCCCAAACCGCCCCTAGTAGTTTGGTGCCGTGATGGCCAGTAATCCGTAATTACCGAAGGCCAACTTTTCAAAACTTAACACAATCAGAGTACGGATGTAGGGGGCTCACAAATGCGGAAGCAATAAATCAAATACAAGTGGTCCATAAGAGCTGTGCGTAGATCAAGGCAATGCCAAACATTTCCAATTAACTTTACAACTTGGATACAACAGGATAAAAAGCATGTTACATCTTGATCAAAAGGCTTCTCGAGCCGACATATACAAAATACAGCTAATACAAGTCAAGAAGCATGATTTTCAAGATCTGCCGACGTGCAAAGCAGGGCATCGCCGACGTAAATACAAAAGTAAAGCCGACATAAGTATAAATCCAAAACAAGCATCCAAACGATCTAGGCGTCGACGCCGTCCTGCTCATCACCTACATATATATAGAGGGGTGAGTACAAATACTCAGTGAATGGTACTAATAATAAAGGTTTTGCATGAATATAGCTGAGGTCCTTCAAAACGAAACACATCAAACTTTAGCAAGGTGAGGGATGAACCGTATTCATCAATTAAATATTACAAGTAACCAAAGATGTTCACTGACATAAGCAAAATAAGGGATGAACCGTATTCATTATTCAAGTATCATAACATCGGCGAAGCAAGGGATGAACCGTATTCATCATTCAAGTATCATAACAACGGCGAAGCAAGGGATGAACCGTATTCATCATTCAAGTATCATAACATCGGCGAAGCAAGGGATGAACCGTATTCATCATTCAAGTATCATAACAACAGCGAAGCAAGGGATGAACCGTATTCATCATTCGAGTATCATAACATCGGCGAAGCAAGGGATGAACCGTATTCATCATTCGAGTATCATAACATCGGCGAAGCAAGAGATGAACCGTATTCATCATTCAAGTATCATGGGCTGTACGATCCGTAATCGTTTGGTCAAAAGTATTGTGAAAGTTTAAAGTCCTCCAATACAAGGGATTTGTGTTACTTAGGCCCGTAGCCCGATTTAACAAGGACCGTATCCTTTTATACTTAGTACTGCAAAAGTTTAGAGTCCTCCAGCACAAGGGACTTTCCGAGGATAACAATCAAACAAGGCCATTTATTCATGCTTAGCAAATACCACGTCAAAACAAACAAAACAAGATTTATCAAGAGCAAGTGTAACGTAGCTTTATTAGAAATACCACTCACCTGCAAATACCACGTCAAAACAAACAAAACAAGATTTATCAAAAGCAAGTGTAACATAGCTTTATTAGAAATACCACTCACCTAGTTCTTCAGGTGTAGGTTCAAAGCAAATATCAAGGACCTACAATCACATGACAAGTCACATTCTCAAAGAAAGCTCCAAATACATGCAAATGATCTCGGCATTCTTGCCAGATCCAAGTCAAAGACAAAACAAAACAAGCTGGGAGCTTAATCACTGCTCCCGTGTCTCGAAAACACACTGGGTACCACCCAGGACTAAGCTGAGGTTCCGCTAAACGAAGTCAGGAAAAAACCTGGGTTTTCCTTTGAAGAATATGAAGAACATGATCATTTGAAAGATGGATGCAAGCTCACAACTTGTTACAAAAATCTGAGTTTTCATGCCAAGAGTTCAAAATATATGGACCTGGGTACCCATTAAAGAAAGTCATGCAAGAACAAACACAAAACATGATTTTCGTTCCAAACTTTTCGATCAAAATGAGACTTTCTTCAAGAACACATGGAAAACCATTTTCTCTCTCCAAACCAACTTCAAAACGATGCATGACATGCAACACAAATTCGATCATGCAATGCAGCTAGGTAATCAGCAAGAACAACCAAAGGAGATCAAGATTCTAACCTCAAAACTCGGATCCAACGGTTCAAACCACGAAGATCAAGCTTGGAAGACTACTCTCACTCAAGAACTCTTCTCTAGAGCTTCTCTCTCTAAAGCAAAGATTGAGACAAGAAAATGATTTGTTTCAAGGTCTGCCGGCTGCCTTAACAATCAGCTCGGACACGTGGCGTTATCGGATTGGTTCGGCTCCAAAAAGGTGATTGATAGACAAGACAAGTCTCTGACAAAGCTTATGCAGCAAGCTCGGGTAAGACACATCGGCAACAAGATGACATCGGCTCAAATCAAGGATCCAGCAACTGGATAGAAAAACATCGGCTAGGGAGGACGACACTTGACTAAGCTGTGCCACACCTTGGCCGGGGCGTGCCACATCTCGGCCTAGGCCATACCTGCCCAAGGACAAGGTTCACTAAGTGCGAAGCATCTCGGCAATGAATGCCCGAGGTGAAGATGGGGTTGAACAAGATCTCAAAACAAGTCTAAGTACAAGGGTTCAAAGGCGGACTAAGCTCAAGATGACCTCGGCTACGCACACACCGAACAAGGGACAAGATCACGCAAGTAATACTAACAAAACAAGGCAAACAAATCCTTCCAATTAATATAATAAAGCAAGACCATGCAAGAATGTATGCAAGTATGACAAGAATAAGGTGAAGGTTGTTACAGTTACCGACTTACTCTGTCCTCTGGGTATCAGAGCACATAAAAATAACTTGTTCAAGTAGTCCATAGATACTTTTTAAGGTTCCAATGCTATTGTGATAATTAATTTGCATTAGTTGTGTTATGTTAACTTGTCAGTTTATTATGGGGTTGTCAGGTTGAAGAGAAAGGGACTTCAGACAGCTTGATTCAAGAGCACATAGATGATGGAGCAGAAAATCATAATCCTGACATTGCATTAGAGGTTTGTGCTTTTTAGTCCTTGCTTTTGCTGTGTTTTATTGAGAGTGGATATCTTTGCTTTCAAAATCAACGTTGTTATACATCAGATCCTTTTTTTTTTTTTTTGTGAGTGAGAATTTTCATCAGATCCTAGCTGAATGCGTCTCTTTATTTTGATGACTAGCGCATTTTAACTTACTAGTTTGTTATTTGGATGTTCAGGATATAGAGAAAGAGAACCCTGATACTGTAGTTCAGGGGATGACGGATAATGAAGCAGCTAAACATGTACCTACCACAGAAGATGATAACGAGTCTCTTCCTGTCTCCACACAGAATCAGCATCTGCAGCCAATTCCTTCACTCAATGGCAGACATGAGTTCAGTCCCATGGATTTGGATTCTGATAACAATGTAAATGTGGAGACAGATGACATTCCTCATAATGTATCAGAGAACGCAGAAAATTTGAACCATGTGGACGTTGCTGTTAGTCAGGGGGATCCTCTTTCTTCTACTAGTTATGTTCGGCCAGCAGTTGGCATGCCCGATTCTTATTATCATTGTACTTCTTTAAACCACGATTACACTTCTGCACATGAGTTGTCAATTGGGCATCCGCATTTTGAAGAGCAATTGGCCAGACAGATTGATCTGGAATCCGATAATCAGGAAGAAGGCACAGAGAAAGCTCTGTTGCACAGACAACCCATTGAAAGGGCCTGCTTCAATCCATACACTGACAAAGAGGTTCAAGATCGAAATGAGCTACTACAACATTTCTTTAAGGCCCAGGATGGTTTACCTTACCGTCATGAGCAGAAACAGAAAGGGTTAGATTTTTTGCCAGAGACTGGTCAGTTTTCTGGGCATGTTGGGCAGCATCTCCATCCGTCAGTGTCATTGGATCTGAGGCAGAAGAGACTAAACGAGTTATACATGCATCAAAACATTCAAGAGAAAATGTTCTCTGATGTAGGTAGGTACACTATTCCAAGGCAAGAGCACTTTTCATCCGTCAATGTTCAGGATTGGGCTGTCAGTACCACCCACATGGCAGTGCCTCTCCAATCTCATCTGAGTGGTGGAGAGTTGGATCGGACTTGGTTTTTAGGAGAGCATAGTGTGCGTGGCAGTTGGTCCAGTTTGGATGCGGTTGGCCCAACCCAAAGCATTGGAAATAGAAGAAATGCGGATCAGAGCCTATTTAGTGTTGTATCTCAGTGTAATGATCAGTTACATCCTGGTGCCCCTTATGATTCAATGCGCTCCACTGAACAGTTCATTCAGGTGGGGACCTATGGTGGACTGGGTGCACTTGTCCCCACAGGAAGCAATGCTTTGGTACAGGCAGTCGATCCACTTGACTACTTGAGTGGGCGTGAAACTACAGCTGCTACTGTAAAGAACAAAAATATAGGATGGATGAGAATGCCACCTCAGAATTCTGCTTTACAGGACTCTTTGGGAAAAACATTCTTGAGGTCCTGGAACAAATAATGATGATTTTGTTGTACCCCTTTGTTTGGACAAGTGGATTGTCTACCCAGTTTGGACGGACACTGATGCTGAACACAAGATGATGCATTCAATGGAGTTTCAGGCCAGTTAGTTTTAGGACTAGGGTTCAGTCTTGTTTTTTTACCTTCCAGAAACTGGGTAGATAACCCTTGCGATGGCATTTTATACACACACATAGGGGAACCAATTCAACCCGTGTGTAATATCTAGGCTGTAGACAGGAATGTGGGTAATGTGAATTGTAGAAGGAATCAGGGATTTATGGTTTGGAAGGTGAGTTAGAGTAGTCATAAATACAGATCCATTTTAATTTGGGATTTTTTCCTTTCTTCTCCTTTGTTTGATGGAGGAGAAATCTCATTCAAATACCTTTTGCAGGTTAGAATCTAGGCAAGTACTTTGATATAATAAAAGTTGTCATTTTCTGTTTATTGATTTTCTTTTTATATTTTATTTTTGGTTTATATTCCTTTCATTATATGGATTGTGAAGAGAAGAGAAGCTCAATCCAAATAATAATGACCACAAACTTAAAAATTAAATAAAAAGCCCACATCAATCTCAACCTTCACTGTGATATTAACAACAAATAATATGGTTTACAAGAAGATTTCTCATACATTTATGCAGGGAAAAAATGAAAAAATAATACAGCTGCTCTTTATACACTTGTCAAACAGCTGGATATCTTCTTCTCTGGTGTCTGCCGCCCCCCCTCCTCTCTCAAAAAATAAAAGAAAATGAAGGTATCTCACAAAGAACACACTCAACTATTTCAAGGTAAGCCAGGTGATTCTTTCTTTTTTCTCTCTTTTTTTTTCTTCTTTTTTTTGTTTTTGTTTTGAGTTTACTTTGATGGCCTAAAAAGATAGCTTCCAAGGAGAATTGAGGTTCCTTCACCCATGATTGTTGTCAAGCTCATTTCTTTTTCCAGTATCCGATCCAATTCCATTACAACATCGCTCATGGCAGGCCGTCTTTCACTAGATGGGTCAACACAACGAACCATCAACATAATGAACTCTCCCATGCCTTCTGCCGTGAAGCTATTTCCCAGTCTTTGATCTATGATAGTAGAGATCTTGCCGGATTCCTGATAATTTTGCACCTGCAAACAACAAAATAACATATGAGATACACTACATTAATCACCTATTATGTTCATAGGGCGCAACAAAATATTATGCATTTCTAAACCAAAAATCCAGATAAATACTGCATTTTAAAACCATGCAATAATGTGTGATGAATCATCAAAGCCTCCACCCTTAATGCTGTACATATATACATTGCACATGAATTCTACTATTATTCATATAATCCACTTGGATTACAAATAAATTATTGTATACAAACCCGAGTCTAAAACTTTTAAGTTCTAAGAATATGACTTGGGTATATCAGCATAGGCCAGCATAGCGTGAGAAATGTTGGATACCCATTCAACTAGGTTTTGGTTAAAATCTGAAGATAGCAAATCCATTGCTTCACGCCCGCTTACTAACTCCAGAAGGAATATCCCGAAACTGTACACATCACTTTTCTCAGAAAATCGCCTGAACTCTTTCACCCTAAACAAGTGAACAAGATATAGGTTATGAAAAAAAACAAAAAGACAAGAAAAATGTATACATGACATGACTAACAATAAACTTTTTTATTTAAAAAAAAAAAAAGGGTTTGCAGAGAGTAATACTCTGGGGCAAGGAATATCTCATCGGCTGCCACTAGAGAAGATGGGCCTGCAACCTCAACTCTTCCAAGGAAATTGCGAACTCCCGCATCAGCAACCTTAGGTATAAAATTTTCATCTACAAGTACGTTTGTTGTCTTGAAATCCTTATGTACCAAACGGGGACTCAAGGAGTGGAGATGAGCCAAACCTGCATAATTAGAAATGAATCAGGCAGCATAAATCAGAAGCATTGCTTCGTGGTCTTTTAAACATAAAGGCTCAAATACCCTAATAAATAAAGTCTTACTGAGCTTGGAATAGAATTTTGAGGGACCGAGATGGATATTCTGGTACTTTTTAACTATAGAGAAGGAAAACTAATACCAGGAAAGCCACTAATGCTCACTGATTTTGCAGAGGATCACCTTTAGCAGCCCCAAGAGCTATTGAAAGCCTATTCTTGAATTCTAGCTTCTCCTGTGAGTCCTGACTGGGACCTGAAACGAGAGCAACATAAAACTTTCATAACAGTCAATAACAATATAGGACAAGACGACATAGAATATTTTGACATGGGTGGAGTATTGTATACACCATAACTCCACGCCAGATCATGTAAAAACCAGGTGACATATACATAAATACTTGCAAGTTGCAAAAAATGATATAATGGTGGAAAAGGAAAATGAACACAAGCTCATTTGTTTCATCAATGTCCTACATTATGCTGCTTGCAAAAGCAAAAAATGAGAACTGGATAAAGCATTACCATACAAGTGAATGGAAATACTTCCATAAGGTATGTACTCATAAACCAGAAACTGTTGATCATTTTCCTGGCAGTATCCTAAAAGGGTCACAAGATTCCGATGATGAATGGATGAGAGATATCGTACCTATATGAAATTAAGACCAAATTTATCAATTATGGAAATTTTAATTAAACAAAGAATAACAACGGAAAGGTGAAACAAAAGATGGACATGATTCACAAGAAAATTGAACATATCATTTTCCCCATCAATTCCAGCAACTTTAAAGTGAGCTTTCAGTTACGTTAGATCTTTCCATTATGATGCACGTTGTTTCCATATTTGATATGGTTAACTTTGACAGTTACTTCCTCAAATATGGAGTTGAAGAAGAAATAAATACTAAAGAAAATACTGAAGGAAATAAAGCAACATAAATTAAATTCAAAAGAAAATATTTCGGATCTGGTTAAATTTAGATGGTAAGAAACCAAATTAAAAGGATACACAAGTTAAGAAAATGAATACTTTCTGAGGATTTACCATCAGGAGTTGTTTTGGTCTCCAATTCTTCATGAGTTGAGAGGAGTTGGAAATTAACTAACTAGGATGAGGAAGAAAAGACAAAGAAAGAGGAGCTTAATATCAATATAACATAATTCGCTTAAAGAGAGAAACACAACATGCTAATAATATCTAATGGATGCTGAGATGTGACCATTTTGGAGGGATGTGCAAAACAAGGTAAAATCCATGCAAATGCCGAAAATGAAAACAAAACTCTGCAAGTCCCAAGAAGAAACCTTGTTTAAAAATTAAAAAATATATTCTTGTGAGCAAATCCCACCAGTGCAGCAGAGGAACAAAAGTCAAACATTCATTAAGCTAAACCTGAATTTCCAGTCAACTTGAAAATATGTGAAAACAAGAGCATTAACTCTCTTGTACATCCCATCAATTTCAAAATTAAAAGGAAACACGTTGACATTGCTGGAGTCTCAAATACCAAACACAAGCATGTCGAATGCAACAAGTCCATGCATAAATCCTTCCAACAGCTAATTACATTTTACCAATAGGAGAGGAAAGTTATTATCACCTCTTCAACAAATTCCTGACTAGGTGTACCAGCTCGCTTTTTTATGGCTACAAGCATCCCATCATTTAGCATGCCTTTATATACCGGCCCAAATTTTCCTTCTCCAATCAAGCTTTTATCACTAAAATCTTTTGTGGCCAATGACAATTCTTCCACCTCAAAATGCCTTGCTTCTCGCAAGGACAACTCAACCACATCCCTTCTTCCTACAGCTGATCACCAGAATAAATTATGGACCGATACATATCCATTTACAGGTTCTGAAATCTGAAGAACATTTGATATAAAGTTACCTTGAATGGATGGATCAGAAGAACCTGTCTCGGAAGTTCTTGAAACACTTCTATTACGAAATAAGAAGAACCATAAAACTACAATCACAATCCCTACCAATGCCACGGCTCCTGCAGCACCTCCCAGTATGGCTGCAAGAGTCGTTGACATTTGGTTTGGGAGCCACTTGAGCTACAGAATTAAGTAGTATTTGGATATGAATTATTACACATGGAACCTGAAAGGTAAAGGATATGTAAGGAGAGGAATTTAAACCTGGACAAAGAAAGGCAGCATAAACAGCAAGCAAAAAATCTTTTTATTTTGCATTAAATTGAACAGCTAGTGACAAATCTTTTATTTTTCTTCAATAAACTAAACAACATGCAACAAATCATATTCATTATGTACTGACAGGAGTGAGCAAAATTGACACTTTGACATAAAAGCTCAATCTGGATATAGAAGGAAAGCTGCAATGAACATGCATTGCTCTACATTCTACACCACAGGAGAGGTATGCAGCTATCAAATCGTAAGAATATATCCCCAAGGGATTGGCAAAGCAGTAAAGACTTGAGAATAAGATTAAGGTTTAGGGACCTAGAACTAGTCAAGGTGTGCACAAGTTGGTCCAGACACTTGGTTTAAAAAAGGAAGAAGAAGAAGAAGAAGAATAAGATCAATGGCAACCGCCTAAAGATAAACAAGATTAAGGCATTCCATTGAGAAAATAATTCCAGCCCAATCCAACCACCCCAAATGGCAAGTTGGGCCGTGATAACTGCCTTAGAGAGCGTAGCTCACGAGTTTGAATCTAGTATGCATGTTAACATGCATTGATCTACATTCTACACCACAGGAGAGGTATGCAGCTATCAAATCGTAAGAATATATCCCCAAGGGATTGGCAAAGCAGTAAAGACTTGAGAATAAGATTAAGGTTTGCCAAGTTGTTAACTTTAGGGACCTAGAACTAGTCAAGGTGTGCACAAGTTGGTCCAGACACTTGGTTTAAAAAATGAAGAAGAAGAAGAAGAATAAGATCAATGGCAACCACCTAAAGATAAACAAGATTAAGGCATTCCATTGAGAAAATAATTCCAAAAAAGAAAAATAAAAAAGTTATATCCCAATTCAGCAGTATGTGATGTTGTAGCAACAAAAATGTAGATTGAGAATAAGATAAGCAAATGTAATAACAGGATAATAAATGACATTGGAGATTGTGGTTGAGGTGACAATAATGTTGTGATCCACTGAAGATTACACAGTTGAGATTTAGAATTTAAAAGCAAGAGAAATTGGTTGGGTTGAGAAATAGAGAAGATTAAATTTTACTAGTAGAGATGCACAGAAAAGAGAGTGTAATTCCCAAACCTGTATTTGTATTGGGTAGCAAGATGGTTAAGAACTGGAGCTTCATTTGATTTGCCAATTCACAATTTGAATGATATGATAGTTCCGATAGAATAGAAACCCCCAAAAGAAAAAGAAGAAAGGAATAAAAATTCAGTTGGAGTGTGAAAAAGGAAGAAATGAAGACATTATTATTGTGAGAGTGAAGTCAATCCATAGAATAGAATAGAATAGAATAGAATAGAGCAGAGCATAGCAATGAAACCCATACAGACAGAAGCGATGATCAGAAGAGAAGAAGCCAATAATAAATAGGCAAATTAAACAAAACCAATAACATGAACAGGGGCGGTCTACTTGAAGGAATCAAATCAATCATGAGAGAAAGAAAGTCCTATTGGGGTTGCGTAGTTTGGTTAGAAGGGAATAGAGAGAGAGAGAGAGTTTAAAATTGAGATTGAAAACGAAAAGGGTGAGAGTGCATCTGCATCAGCAAAAGCATAGTCATCATCGTAGTAGTAGTTGTAACTTTTAGTAGTAATAGTAGTAGTAGTAGTAGTAGTAGTAGTAGGGAGGGGATACAGAAGAGAAGAGAAGAGAAGAGAAGAGAAGAGGCAAATGCCCACTGAAAGTGACCTTGCGCCGACACACGCGATCAGAGTTTATTACTCCCTCGCACTCCCCCAAGCCAAACCCAACCCAAAACCCACTCCAAATTCAAAACCAGTTTTCAAATGAAAATTAAAACAAATAATTTAACCCCGTTGAATTTGAATTTGAATTTGAGAGAGAGAAAGAACCCACAACAAATTGGAAAACGAAGAAGGACAAGGTTAATTTAGAGAGAAACCCCAAATCATTAATATAATAGAATTTTGATGGCAGATGTAGCCTCGAAGAGGAAGGTGAATAGTTTTTGAGAGAGAGACAGAGAGAGAGAGAGAAGGAGATGAGAAGGTTAATTTATTATTAATTTTAAAATATATTTGCGGTATTTGGTTGTTGTTGGGTAGGCTGTAAAGTCAGTATAAGAGAGGGAGTGGGAGGGAGACAGAGAGAGAGAGAGAGAGAGAGAGAGTGGTTGTCTGTTAGTGCAACTTGGAGTGTAGTATGTATGTATGTATGTATATGTGGGAGTAATGATTGGTGGTTATAAATTTTGTGGCTTAAATGGTCTGAAAATGTTAAAATAACGTCGTTTTGAGTATAAAATAACTCCGAAAATATCAAAACGATATTGTTTTGACACTTTCAAACTATTTAAATCACAAAATTTGTAGCCACAAGACATTTTTCATATGTGGAACTGGGGTGTCCCGGGACTTGGACTGTGGGTTCGGGCCACGGGGCGGCGGGTATATTGGTTGTTACAGCGCAGCTCCACCAGTCATGTTCATGTTGCCAGCTACGCTCACTACTACTAATATCATATCTCCCTCTTTACAAATAAATTAAATAAATTAACACACCCACCCCCTAAAATATATGAATTAATGATTTTCTATTAAATTTTTACTTTCTTTTTTTTTATATTTATTATAATACACCTAATCAAAAATATATAATTTTGAGTTAATTACACAAATGATTTCAAAATATGTGCTACATTACACTTTATTCCATAAATATTTTAATTATTTTACTTTGGTCCTTAATATATACCATCCATTATATTTTAGCCTCTAACATCAACAATATTTAAAATTAATAACAGGAAGAGAGATATTATCATAATTTTGCTAAACAAATTAGATCAAATAATGCATGAATGTGCATACTTTGAAAATTAAAATAAAATAAAATGCATATTTAGAAGCCAAAATGCTTCAAAATGTGTACTTTTAGACCATGTGCATTTGATCATTTTGATTTTGTTGAAATTTCTTGTAAAATTTTAAAAATACCCCTTCTTTTGTTACTAATTTTGAACTGCACTAACGTCATAGGATTAAAGTATAAAATAGATTGCAAAGTTTGGGGATCAAAGTAGGACAACTAAAAGACTGTAAACTAAAATATAATTTGAAGACCATTAATGTAATTAACTCATAATTTTTTTGAATTATCAAAATTCACAAAATATATAGGCAATATGTACATTTACCACAAAGGAAATGTTGTCACCATTTATGTCTATAATACACATAAAAATATATGACAGAGGTATTGGAATTTTAATTGTTTTGATATATATATACATATATTTTTTTCTAACAACTCTCATTCAACATAAGATAATTTATGATATTATAGTATACTATGTGAGAGTTTATTATGTGTGGAATTGTAAATATAGTTTTATGGCATCCATGATAAATAATTGAATAACACCACTAACAAAATTTATGGATACGCCATTATATAAAAATATGTGAAAGGTAGGGCTGCAAACGAACCGAGTCGAGCCGAGCTTTGCTGAGCTCGAGCTCGGCTCGTTTACTTATCGAACTCGTTTATTGAGCTTGACCTCGGCTTGGCTCGGCTCGATAAGTTTTTTTTTAATATTATTTATATTATTTAAATATAAATATTTAAATAAAAAATATTATTTATATTATTTAATATATAAAAAATGTATTTATATTATTATTTATATATATATTTAATATATAAATAATATATTTATTATATAATTTAAATAAAGATAAACGAGCCGAGCTTATGCGAGCTCGAGCTCGGCTAGTTTACTAAACGAGCGAGCCGAGCCGAGCCCTTAACGAGCCGAGCCGAGTTTGCTTCATGAACAGCTCAGTTCATTTGCAGCCCTAGTGAAAGGTGTATTTACAATTTTAATTATTTTGATATTTTTTCTAACAAGTGCCCTCGAGCATAAGAATTTTTTTTTTTTAAAAATAGTAATGAATAATTTCAAAATAATTTTAATGACTTCAAAACTCTTCAATTTATCACATGTACTTGTAACATTTTCCGGCTCAATTCTCATTTTAAACAATGTCTTAGTGATACTTGATAAAATTTTATGTATGATAAGACTTAGGCTTTGTTTGGGGTACTCTAAAAAAGTCAAAAAGTCACTATCTTAGTTAAGTCACACCATCTTATTTAAGTCATATCACCTCTCTACCACATCACTTTAAACCCAATCCATATTTTACAAAAAGTCAAAAAATACACTTATTTGGATCATCCTAAACAACCCCTTAAATATTTCACACCTTAATTAATAAAGGTCCTGTTAACGATACTTTTAAAGACTATTATTAAAAATAAAATAATATCAAAATATTTATAATTTTAATGTATTTTTTTGTTTTGAAAAAAATACCATTCAAGAGGCATTTTTAAAAATTATTACACATTAGCAAAAAAAATTATAATTATAATTATTATTATTTATAATACTTATCACTTTTTTATAATTTTTGTACAACCACTTTTCTATTATTTGTCCCCTTTTTTAAAAATATTTTTAAACACTTCTATAAATTTTAATACACCTTTTATACATATATTACAAATTAATGACACAAGAACTAGCCCCATGTGATGCCATTAGCAATTCGGCATAATATATATATATATATATATTTGTTTATTTATTCATTTATTTATTTATTCGTTTTGTAAGAATAGAATTATATATTACATTCATTCAAAATTTCAAAGTTATGGGGTTGCTATCCCCCACCAGCCAGCTATGTTGACATTGCTCCTACTCATTAATCAAATAATAAAATATTCAAGAATAATTAGTGCATAAAAAATAAAAAATAAAAATGAAAAAACATGTATCAAAGTGTACCTGGTATTTTTGTATATTATATTACAAAGATTAATGATTAGAGCAATGTCACACTGTATTTAAGATTCATTGTAAATGTAATATGAATCACATTTAAAATAAATCTCAATCATATAATATATTATTTTTGTAAGAGTATTTTCAATCCTTTACAAAAAAATTTATTAAATTTAAATGTGATGAAAAAATGGTGAAGATGAGATTTAATTGATTCATCAAACTTATCTCAAATAGAGTTTTCACAAAAAATTTCATCAAATGAAGAATGAGTAAAATTTTTCATCAAATTTCTAATAGACCTTTTTTTTTCACTTAAATTTGATGAAATTATTAAAAGATTTGAAAACGGATTTTTTTTTTACCTAAATTGATTAAATTAAAGGATGATTTTGGAATAAGTTAGGTATTTTAAAAAGGATTTGATGAAAATTTTGATGTTCACCATTAGAGAGTAAAGAATCGGAGATTGTCTAAGATACATATATACAAATGAACTACAAAAGCAATTAGGATGTGTTTATACTTTGAAAATGGAAAAAGAAAAAGAAAAGGAAAGGTATATATCTAACGGCTACATATCCAACCTTTTTCAAATTCTACGAGATGCTTTGGATTCTTGCCAATGTAATGGCATGTATTATTAAAATTAAATCAAATTAAATAATTAATAGTATAAAAGTTTATTAAGGAAGGAGATAGTTTCACTCTAGTTTATATAGTATACTAAAACATGTTGTTGGATTTGTGGGATTTATTATGAGTTTCGTTTTGATAATTCGAACCGTTTAATGTGTAGAACTTATCAAGTATTTTATGTTTGTAAAAAATCACGTTGATTAGATATCGGTAGTCTCTTGATTGAAATATATTTTTGTTAATAATTTATTTTAAAAATCATATTTATCATTGACAAAAATATATTTTGATCAAGAAACTATTGATATCTGATTAACATAATTTTTTATAAATATAAAATACTCAATAAATTTTATATATTCAATAATTCAAAATATCAAAATAAAACTCGTGATAGATTTCACAAATACAATAATACGCTCAAATCCATATAATAGAGTGGAGGGAAGCCTCTCTCACAAAGAAATTGTTAAAGTTGTTGTGTGGTGGAGGAGGACTTTACACACACTTGAATGATATCTGATTAACATAATTTTTTATAAATATAAAATACTCAATAAATTTTATATATTAAATAATTCAAAATATCAAAATAAAACTCGTAATAGATTTTACAAATACAATAATACGCTCGTATCCATATAATAGAGTGGAGGGAAGCCTCTCTCACAAAGAAATTGTTAAAGTTGTTGAGGAGTGGTGGAGGAGGACTTTACACACACTTGAAAGAAAGGGTTTGTCTGATGGACCTGCACCTGCACCTGATTAATGATTGCCAAAGATTCCATCAATCAACCAACCAACAAAACAATCAAACATATTCTTATAATAATACATTTAAGACAAGGATCCTCTCCAGTTTGCTTTTAAATTGGATGGCCCTGTTGGATCGTATTGGGCGTGATCCGGATCTATTTTGATAATTTAAATTATTTAATGTGTAAAATTCTTTAAATATATTATTTTTATAAAAAATTATGTTAATTGAATATCGATAATTACTTAATCAGATCATATTTCTGTCACCATTTATTTTGAAAATCATACTTACTGTTTATAAAAATGTGATCTGATCAAGTAATTATCAATATCCGATTAAAATGATTTTTTTGCAGGAATAGTATACTTGACGAGCTTTATACATTAAACGGTTTGAATTTTTAAAATGGGCCCAGATTAGGGCCCACCATGGTCTGACAGGTTTGTCCAATTCCATGACAAACAAGAGAGGAGTCCTTTCCCTAACTATAAATGTTAGGAAAATGATAAAAAACTTTACTAGTCATGGAAATAATTGATTAATAATTAGATAATATACTTAGTAAATTTATAGTAAATTACTCATAAAATTATCAAAAAAAAAAATTCGTCAATTACTTTTTTAATTTTCAGTAAATTACTTAGTAAATTATTCGAACATTAATTAGTGAATTTCCTGTAAATTCTCAGTAAATTACTTTATAAATTCTCAGTAAATTATTCAATAAATTCTAAGTAAATTCTCAATAAATTAATCTATAAGGTCTAAGTAAATTATCAATAAATTCTTAGTAACTTACTCCGTAAATTCTCAATAAATTACTTACTAATTTGCAACTAAATTACC